CTGGACGAGGAGGTACTCCAGGCAAGGCGGAGGGAGAGACGCCATGGTGATACGGTATGGATTGGTGCCCAGACACTCCATGTATGCCATATTACATTGCCCCCCAAATCACCCCAATGTAGGCATATATGGCAGTCCCATGGAGTGTCTGGGGTAGAGAAGTTGGGCTTTGAAGGTTCGATTGGAGGCATAGATGATCCCAAAATAGAGAGGATTGCACGGTGTCCAATACATATTTCTACGTGGGGGTCTACGAACTTCTATCTATTTAGGAGTCCATATTATGTAGAAATATATGTGGAGTCTTGATGAATCAATCCCCTGCAGACATGGATTGTAAAGCCTCTTCAGGCTTTGGGGTTGAAACATGGCAGGCCCAGTCGGTAGACTGGTTTATGTCCCTTCTTCCAGGGGGTTGGAACGCCTGGAAGTTTTCCTTTTTTTGAGCTACACACTCAAATGAGCCCTGACAATTGGACTGGAATGTTTGACTACATGGACCCTAATAATAACATCTTCAAGAAACCCTAGGGATCCAAGTACATCCTCAAAAGGTACGACTGGACCCTACTGGCACCCACCCCAGTCCCACCTTCTCAGAGGGTACGACTGGATCCTTAGGGAAAGTTTGAACAGGAACAAGGTCTAAAGCGGTCCCAAGAAGGGACCGAAACAACAAGGTCAAAAGGTCGGACAGTTAAACACCTTCAGAAGGGACCCACTCGGACTCGTTTGCATCTAACCCACGAAGGGCTCGACTCCAAAAAGCACCCAAGAACACCGTAGGCAACTCATCAACCCAGTCCCACACACTCTTGGAGTAGGGTACGACCATGGAAGACCACTTGGCAAAGGATGTGAAGACCACCACTGCGGGGCGATGTGAAGTTTGGAGGCTCAAACCCGCTCATGGCCCGATTCGTCATTTGTCTGAAGAAAACCGTTGTGAGACAGTGTCAATTCCCAAATCGGCCTCAGAAGCCCCATCTTCTGCATCCACACCATCCAAGCTTCCGCATCATGCGACGGGTGAGACACCAAACGACACACCAAACGCATCCAAACGCCGCCCTCGCCAGGAGCGCGCCAAGTCTCGGGAGGAGACGGTGAACTTGCTCTGCCGCTGTGGGTCGCACCGTTCGTCTCCGGTCGTTGAGGGCCGCCCAGAGCAATGGATCATTGGCTTTCACCGATGTTTTAAGAAGGGGACACCTGACACCTCACTTTATATGATCTAAAATGGTGGACAGCTTGAACCTGAAACGTTTCCAGGGAAGCCGCGCCGGGGAGAATGGGAGGGCCCCTCAATGAGTGCAAAGACTCATTGTGCCTTTTTTGTTCTGATCTCTCTTCGATTGGAATTTTTGCAACATGTTCAGTTATACACGGGATTTTCCAGGGAACCGGTGGAACATTCGGAATTCTCAGTTCGGCTTTGGACCCTGAAGACCACTGGTGCAGCGAAAGTCATTCCAGCCGGACTCAACTCAGGGTGCTGTTCGACCCGGGTGTTTCGTTTTCGTTCGTTGCGTCCATGTCGGTCCTATTGGCCATGGCGATTCCGAGGCTCCAGGTTTCCCAGTCTCCGCCAGCGCTTTTCGTCTCATTTGAAAAACGGCGTCCCGAAACCGTTTCAAGACCATGAATGTCATATCCTTTCATCATCTTGGTAGGATTTTACAATCACAATCGCTTGCTTTTGATGACCAGATTCTGCTCAGTATTCGTGACGATCTTTTGCTCACCAACACCCCGCCCACGTCTCCGGCGGCGAAACACGCGTGCCCCCGATGTCGTCGTTTGGACGTGCGCCGTGCGAGGACACCAGCTCCACCAAGGTGCGCGTCCGGGGATCCCAGCAGACCGCGGTCGAGCCGGTCTCGCCGGCGAGTGCGGAGCGGCGCCGGGGCGAGTGCGGAATGGTGAAGGATGGCGAACGGATTTGGTTGAAATGGATTCTGAGGAGTGGTGACAGTGGTCAGTCAAAAGAACTGGGAAGAGTTAATAATAATGAGAGCGGGGTCAGCGTTGTTTTAGCTGTTGTGGCGGATATATAAACATGATCCAATCCACCTGAAACAAGGACCAAGCAATCTCAGTTAAGAGAAACCTCCTGGCCGTCTGGTGGACGTAGCAAGAAAATCCAAAATCTGAAACACATGACAACACAATTATAGTTCAACATTTGCATACTTGGAGCAGTACTCTATATAGTAATCTTACCCACCGGGACTGGATGTTCTCACGTTCCAAAAGCCAGGAATGTCCAGGAGGAGAGCAGGAGTTACTGTAGTGGCTGTACTGGCCGACAGAGGGGACGGGTCGATGGAAGATGGGAGTGGACATGGGAGATCAACAAGAAGGAAGTGCTTGAATCTATAAACATGTACGGAGAAACACTGAACACCAATGACAATCTGCGTTTTCAGCAAAAAAAACGCTTGTCGCGTGATTGATGCACTGACGCTTGTCGTCGCTCAAAGCGGTGAAGATCCCAGGAATCATCATGGTTACTTGGATGGCCGTGCCCTGAAAGAATTACCATTTTCCTCATACTATCCTCATACTGTATATACTCCACAGATTCTTTCAGGGAGTCTCACAACTTCAAAGAACCCACAAAACATGCGGTGCCACGTGCCCATGATCCTTTTCAGGGAGTGTACATCCCCAAAAAATACAAAAAATCAAGTTACTGTAAACGAATCGAATCGACTCGAATCGTTTCCATCCTTTTCGTAGGAGGACTTGGATCGACCGCCAGCCTCGAGCTAGACCCGCCCTCGCAGCAGCCGCCACCGCCCTCGCCATCGGACGACCGCATGCGCTTCTCTGCGCCGCACCTGCGCTGAGTCCCGAGAGGGCGGAAAACGGATGAGCTTCGTCATGGCTTTGTTGCGGGGTCCCAGCGGTGAGACACGGGACGGCCCACGCGACGTTGAGGAAAGAACAGTTCCGGAAGATCCGTTTCTGTTTGGAAACATGCAGAAAAGGTGGGGAAAGGAAAGAGCAGAGGAGGCAGTGGGGTGCGTATGATTCGTATGTTTTTGTAATTACGGTTCTGGGCGATTGACAGTTTAAGGGCAAAATCTACAGGCAACCGTGGCTCTCAGCTCCACAGCTATGGGTTTCCTATATAGGTTTTCCCTCATATAAAACAATTCTGGGAGTCATGGGATTTCATCATCAATTTGGTCGATGCGTGACAAGACGAGACCATTCACCCTTTTGAGAGGGTGCCTTTTTGAGCAAGGAAAGGCCGGCTTCCACAAATATTCCATGAAATGATTCCGTACAAATCTTACCATTATACATAACATCATCCTGGGTCTTCAAAGTGACCCCTTTGCTAGAAGATCCTTCTGAAATCATAGTCTCGCCCCTTAGAAGGAGGGGCTATATAAGACAAACAGTTTGATCTATACAGTGGTTTCAGTATAGATGGCACAAACCCACCCACAGATGCCTTGTGTATGTGGGTCCATGTCAGCCACCTTTTAGAGATTGCACCATCTACTCTGAAACTATTGTAGCTTGAAATGCGTGGTCCTGTCAAATGTCTCACCTCGTCTATACACTCCCTGAAATCATCAAGGTTACGTGGATGGCCTGGCATCGATTTCGGATCACCATTTAATGTAAACAGGTGATGGTTTTCCACTTCCATAGATTCTATACCAAACAGGTGATACACCAAACAGGTGATGGTTTTCCACTTATACTTCCACAGATTCTTTCACGGAGTGGGTCATACCCATCCCTTCGCGAAAACACGTGCCATCCCATCCACGTCTACGGCCCCGTCCGCCGGGAACCCCGGCTGCCCCCAGGTCTGCCGCCACGCCGCCACTGGAGAGCGACAAACCCGAGAAGGCTGAGAAGGCCCGACCTTCCGTGCCCCTTGGGCGGCACGTGCCGCGGAGACGCGGCGATGGACGGACGCGACGAGGAGTGGCTGCGTCCGGACGGATGCGACGGTGCTGGTGTCGGGTTCACGGTGTGGGATGGTGTGGGTGTGGGCCTCCAGACGTGCGCTGGCTGAACGGGCACTGTTTTAGGGCGATAGGGTGGCACGGTGTGCGTGAGACTCTGCTGGGTTGTTGAAAGACTATAGAAGACCATGGAAATTTGCGGGGTGTAGGTGTTCAAAAGCCAAAAGGACCCCAGCCTCTCAGTTTGGGGTACCTGTGGTTTCTATAAAAGATCTGATGTGCATTCATTGGCAAAACCTCTCAGAGAATGAATATAGTTACTTAATGTTACTTAGTTGTTTTGATGTGATCTGTTCAAACCACCTTGGGCTGCCCTTGGGATATAGAATGCTAGGAGAGCTACGTATAATTAACTTGCAATTATATAATTATACTAGTATCATTGTAAGACACATCCACAAGGGTCAGGGTCCCTCGGTGTAATGATATAATATATATATATTACGTGCACCCAGATGCCCTTCACCCTCCAAACCTCCCTCAAAACCTATAGGGATTTGTTTGACCCTGTTCAACCCTGACGCGAGGATTGTGGTCCGACCCCTCCATATCCAGATGTTCCAACTACGCGCAGAAATCTGGCACAGTTGGAAGATCGGTATGGAGGGGTCGTGGCTATACCCTGCATATCGGCAATATCCAAACCCCTGGCACCATGTGAACACCTCCGCTGCTGGAATCCACCACCACCAGTCGCAACCGAAACCCCACCGGCTGAGGTCCGAAGCCACCACTCGCTCACGTGGTTCACGGATGGAGGTGGAGCGGATGGGGCACTAAGGGGCACAGCGGATGGGGCACACCGGATGGATGAGTGGTTCATATAGGTTCTGTGCACTAAGAAAAAACCGCAATCCCAGTGATAGGCGGTGTGTGTTTTTGGGATTACACAATACATGGGATTGCAGTTGTTTCAGAGGTGAGAAATGGCACGTTTCCACCCCAAGATGTCTGTCACTGATGGGGGTCCACTACTAAACCACCTTCACTTGGGGGTAATTTGTGCCATCGAACCTCTGACACCACATTCTGAGGACCCTTTTTGGGTCGTCCGGAGGCCATTTGACTATTGGACTTGCTTGACAACAGGCCAGTATTAGCTTAGAGCATCGTTTTGTTCTTGTGACATCGAAGTGTTCCAGGTCTTCCCTGCGGCATAGGGCTCAAACGAGTGTGAAGCATGCTTTTTTGCCAAACCTCCAGTGAAATGTTCATGATGGGACTCATCCACTTCCTTGCGTTGCCTTTGGTGTTTGCTGCGCGGCATCTCCAGAATGATGCTAGTGGCTACATGATGGTTGTCAGACATGATGGCTCAGATTCGGCAGCAGATTTCAATTTCTCAGGTTTGGAAAATGGCTCAAATGGCTCACAGTTGGAAAATGACGAGCCACTGCCACCAAGACCGCCAAGACCGAGAGGACGACGACAAAAACGACCAAAGTTGAAGGGCCCTTTGCTCACTTTGAATGGAAAAACAGACTTGAAATTTCAATTCCGATATGAATGGTCATCCATTCCTGTCACTGGTTGGCACGACCTCATCATCAACGGCTATGTCTCCAGCATTGTAGACCTGTTACAAGAGAGGCCAGAGCTGCCTTTGACGTGCCCACAAGACTTTGTGGGGCATCAGGTGTACCTGATCCTCCGCGAAAAGTTGAAGTTCACAGAGATCCTTCATTCCAAAGTCTTCACTGCCATATCAGGTGTGGCTGGAACCTCCGTTGGAGGTGGAGCCAAGTCCGCTTTGCAGGGTGTGCTGACCAAACTCCTCCCTGCTTTCAAGATGAATGTGGCAGCTGCAGCATCTACTGCCCATACTGCTCATCGAAGCGGGCAATTAGTGGCATTGCAAGGGAAAATTGGGAGAATGCTGAGCAAAGGTATCTCCAAAGATGGTGCCATGGCTTTACTGAGCTCATTTGTGACCTACGGTCTGGTGTATGAGGAGGAGACAGGCACACCCTGGTCGCTGGAGGGCAAGGGAAACGCCTTTGATTGGATTTTGTCACAAGTCCACACCATGACCCGATTGTATCATTGGCTCAGCTGGACCGATAAGTCAGTACGACTGACTTTGAAAAACACCTATGGCGGATTTCAGTACGGTGAAAAATATTACTATGACCTCAAGATGAAATGCGTGAAATCTCCTCCCGGGTCGGAATTTAAGGCTTTTGTCGCATTTGAAAACGAGGATGGCCTCATCGAAAGGGTGACTGCCAAACATTTGGCCGTTTACGTACTTGTGCTCTCATGACCATCATGACTGGACAGCGACCGATGCGGACAGCACGGCGATCGAGTCAAAAGGTGACCAGGTCAGTGACGGGTGACCATGCCGAGGTGGGAACTGGGTATTCTCCTGGCTGTGGGTGATGGCACCCAGAGCCCCGTGAGCCCCAGGGTAGATGGACCTTAGATGGTCCATTCTGTTTCTTTTTGGCTGGTCAACCCAGGTCTCCCGGTGTCATGACACCTCGGCCCGCTGGCTCCGCTTCCCAAAGTGTTCAGACCACGGTGACTTTATGAGCTGTTGCCAGCGTTCAGACCGTAGTCAAGTCACGATGGTTTGGTTCTGGACAAACCCTTTGAAGATGAGAAACTCAACAGATTCCTTCCCTCGCAGCCCTCACGGTTGGGGGATGTTACTGGACACTCAGAGAACTCAATTGGAGCATCTAGACCCCCACAGGTTTGTTTAAATCTTTTGACTTTCTGATTTGTTCGATAATCGAAGTACATGGAATGATGGCAAGACGGTGGGATACTCGGACGGTTTTGTAGCACATCTCATTCTCAGCACTATTGTTATCATCCTGATGGCTCGACTCAAGTGTGAACTTCTGAACATCTTGCCGGGGGGGCCGTCTTCAACGCAGTACTTGACGTGTTGCTGGCGATCAAACACGAGAAGGTCTGGTTGGGGCAATGTTTGTGTGCAGGGCATGGCAAGGCTTCAAACGTCCAAAGATTGAGATGTCAAAGTTTCTCGGCCACTTTATCTCTTCATCCCAAAAGTTTCAGATTCGACATGAACAAACTGAATCGACCTGAATCGAACCATCAATCGAAACGAAAGGACCATGTCTATCATGTCAAGTTTATCCTATAGCTTCATCGTGGCCATGGTCGAAACTTGGCCTATGACCCCACCCTAGGGATCTAAGTGCCTCCTCAGGTTCGGTACGACTGGACCCTCCTGGCACCTATATAACAGTGTCTCCAACACATCACCGTACCTGAGGTTCGGTAGCTCCTGGATCCCAAACGGGCCCTCTACGGCCATCTACGGCTGTGCCCCTGCTGCCGAGCGGTCACGTCCTTGCAGGCCACGAACGCCAGCATGTCCTTGGCATCGTTGATCTCCAACTTCACCGCCGACCGGGTGGGTGGAGAACGGAGCGTTCGACGTGTGTGGTTTGTTGGTTTGTTCGATGGTGGCCAGACAAGAAACAGAATTGGGGATAGAATGGAACTGAAGGAATGTCTCAGCAACCTGCGCTTGCTCAGAGAAGATGCACAGTTTATAGATGTCTATAGGTTGCAGGTCAGTTCCTTTGTTTGGAGTATGTATGAATTTTGCAGATATCACACTGACCAAGGAATCCCTCAGCTCATCTCCAGTTCAGTGACATGACGTGTCTCGAAGCTAGGACCTTGAAACGATGAAGTCTCGACATTTTGAGAACTGAGAATGACACGATGTTTTTTTGGGGCACTTGCTTCTCTCCAAGGGTCCTTTCTAGAAGAACTTGTCCATACTGGAGCCTAGGGTTTGAACCTCCTTTGATTGAACGGGTTTGGATCAACGACCTTCTATCGAAGGCCAGGGTGTGACTTTGCATCAGCATGGTCACATCCTCATCTGCAATCGGTCCAGTTACGTCCAAATTGGTCTTTTCAAACCGCCCCGAACGACCACGGGAGACGTTGATGACCACGGGAGGCTCGCCGTCGCCATCGCTTTTGCTCCGCCTCTCGCGGTCCTCGGGCGTTGGCAGTCGCAAGCCGTGTCCAAGAAGAAGGCGGATGAAGCTCAACAGCCGCTGGGACAGACTGGATCGAAGCGGAAACCCGGATCCACATACCGAACCAGGTCGGTACGGTGATTGGAGATTATTTATTTAGGCGCCAGGAGGGTCCAGTCTTACCTTCTGAGGTTCGGTATGTGGATCCACTGTGGATCAAGAAGTGGGATCGAAGAGGCCCGGGTGTGGGGACCCGAGGGATGGACGTGTTCAACCATTCCTTTGAAGCACCGAAAAGCTCTTCGATGGATGGACGTTTCAGGATCGATCACTTAACCCTACAAGTCCAGTCTGACCCAGTTGGTTACCTGGTCCTTGACCTTCAATAGTGTGAACTTGTATGACCAATGTCAGTAAAATGAGGTCGACTTGTAGGGTAATGTATAGATTCAATAACCCCCCCAATTGAATTCAACAACCATGTTATGTTCATTATTTGTCTACATTGAGCCCGAAACGGAGGGTCACTCATGAACCTAGGACCTCAAAAAGAGTCAAAAGCTCAGAAGACCAGCGATGGCTTCATTTTGGTTTGACTTACACCTGGCAGGCTGGGTGGGTGTTGTGTTTTCACTAAGGGCTGCGGTAGACTACTGCAGGGTGGTGGTGCTGAGGGTTGCCAGCTGCGATCGAAGCTTCCAAGAACGGGTGCACTTTCTGATGTGAAAGTTCCAGTCACTTCACCAGGACATGTTCCAGTTCCAATCTCCATCTCGCTTGGGAGGAAAGAAATTAGCCACGTCTCCAGTTCCCCACCATAGCGACGCGGTGAAAAACCCACCGCTGTTTTGGTCCTCTTGGAGAATTCATGGTCATTCGAACGAGTTGGCCATGGGACATCGCCACCAAACCCACCCACCCACAGGGAGATCCAGGGAGTGGTGACATCATATCTACTGCAGAATCCTACACTTTTGCCTTGAAACTCTGGTGTTTGCAGGGGAGCACCTGGCGGATGGTGCAGACGGAAGAAATGAATGATTTGTGGAACCTATAGAAGGACTCCTGGAACCGAGAACCTGCTGGGTGTTTGCATGGTTGGTTCGGGCGCAGCGGTCGCTCAGGTTGAAGGAGGCGGAGCGCGCTCGGGCCTCAGCATGTGACATGACATGTCCTTCCTTGGACTTAGGATGACCTGGGTTCCTTTGTGATTTGCGCAGCATCTGGCACAGCAAATCCTGATAGAACCTCCTTCCACCCCCCTGGCACAATGCCTTCCTTTGCCTCCCAAGCAAGAGACACAGGCATCACTGACTCTCCCTCGTGTTCGTCCAAAAGTCCATCCTTCGAAAGCTCCCATCGTCGTCCCGTCCCACCGCATCGTTCGGGAGCGTCCTGTGTCGGCGACCCCGTTGAGCAGCGGAGTGGTCGATCGCTGCCAGGATTGGTCGATCCCCATTCCCGATCTCTTCTTGGCTCGGATGCGTGTGCGGAGCACCCGAGTGGAGCGAGTATAAGCAGGATGGTGGGAAGTCAGGTGACTCCCTGGTTTGAACCGGTTGTTTTTTTTTGCTTTTGTACTGGAAATAGAGGCTTCATCATACTTCATCTATAGTTTCCAAGCAACATGTATTGTTTCTTGGGTGATGTTCTGGTACTGTACTACATACGTATAATATTATATGTACAATCGGACAAAGCAAGGGTTTAATGAATTGGTGTACTTTGCTTTTGAAGATGCTGGAGCAAGGCATTTATCGAACTTCAGGTGGCCTGGAGAGAATGCCTCCAACCTGATGGGGCAAAAAAACAATGAAGTATAAACAGGTTTTTCATGCAGTCAAACGGACGGTTTGCACAGGTCATTATATGATTTCTGTTATCAAGTAATATATAATATAAAACCTGATCTTGCTGGAGACACACCTCGCATTCAAGCGTGATGTTGTTAATGTACGCCCTGGAATATTAACATGGAACCTGAAAACTACTAGGGTTGTAGAGCAAAACAGTCTTCCAGTCAGGTCCATTTTCAGGTTGCATGTGGGTCTCTTCCCGGGAATATGTCCTTTTGTTGTAGGTTTTACCAGGATGTAAAAACCAGGTTGCACTCTCCTATAGGTCCCCTCCCAGGTCACACTACCAGGTCTTACAAACTGGCTTGTGACGCTCCCATACCTGTTTGTAGGGCTCCAAGTACATCCGAAGGCAATTATTTAAACACCCCTGAAAGCCAATTCCAAACACCTTCGAAGCAGAGCCATGAAAAAAGAAAAAAAAACACATCAAAACACAACTATATTGAATATTGGTTTCAGTGCGCCCCTACATTTGTGTGTTTGTTTTTGTGCACCTTCAGGAGATGTTGGCTATATGTTCATCGGTGACTCTCCGCTCGTCTTCTTCGCTCGGCGCGGCGGAAAACAGAGGTGGACCTCGGCGTCAAAGTGTGCGGCGCTCGGCGGCGTCGGCCGGCGGTCGGACATTGGGCTTCCCTCGAAGTGAGGACGGACGTCGGGCCACTGAGGGAATGAAGAGATGTTCAACTACTGACTGGTGCGACTTTCAGCAGGGAATGAGGGTGGCTGGATCCAAAGGAATCTCTATTGGGGGCGAAACTTCCCTCATTCCCTACGAAGCACCAGTCAGACTAGCATGAGAGTCATTCTGGTCCTCATAGCAACAGCCTGAAGTCGAAGTGACATGTTTGTATGAACATGGATGAACAAATCAATCAATGCATGAACCGTCATTGTGTTCAATCTGGTGTCGACATTTGTAAGATGTCCAAGATCCTCCAGTGGAACCGATTCAAATGGTGCTTTGCAGGGAAGGAGCAAGGGTTATCCACTGGGGTATCCATATGCCCCACTAAAGGAGGGTAGCGACCACAGGGGGAGAATCAACGCCCCACTAAGGCTTGGACTCTTTCTTTTCTGCTTTGTTTGAGTCACCGAGCTGCAGCAGTCTAGTCTATGCTCCCTGCAGGAGGTCTTGGGGCAAAGTTGAAAAGTTGTTTTTGTGCACCTCAAAAATCAGATCAGAGAATCTTGTTACTATGATGAATGCAACCGTCAATCATGACTGTAAGACGCAAACAATAGCAAACATGATATGGTCACAATCAGAAGTGCTGCGGATATGCTTGGCCCTGTGCGACTGGCCTAGGTCAGATGAAGATACTGCACATTTGAGGCCAGCAAGTGCTGGGGGGTTGGACCACGAATGAAAGCGCTGTGTAGACGTTACCGGTACTTGATTGAAATGGGAGGCGTCCCCAGATGAATGAGAGATGCTCCGACTCCGGTTGTTTCAATGTTTTGAAGCAGGAGCAG